ACAATAAAAATAAATTTTAAATTTTAAATTCTTTTCAAAAACCGTAATGAAATTAACCCTAAACTTTTAAATTACATCATGTTCGTTTTTGGAAACTGTTTAGATTTTAATATAGTAATTAAAAAGTCGCGTGTATCTTTTTTTTTTTTGAAAATTCTAAAATTTTATTTATCATCTATTTTTTACATTCGTTTATCGTGATTTTTCTTTTTTTTTAATCTCAAATTGCCAGTCAAAAATTTTCCTTGAGAATTTTCGCGTTCATATTTCAAGTTTTCAGTTTTTTCTTATTATATACATATATATATATATATAGTAGATTTATATCGGATTTTTAGTGGAAATTTGGATTTAATTTTATCTAAAAAAAAATTAAAATTTTCAATATTTAGATTACTATTATTATGTTCCAATGTTCGATAATTTGACTTAAAATAATTGTATTTACTATTATAAAGTAATTATATATTGTTAGACTTAGTTTGAAGAGATAAAAAAAAAAGGTGTTGGATCTATTTCTCATTGAATTCACTTGCTTTTTTTCAAAACCAAAAAAAATCCGAATACAAAAATAAACCAACCGAAATCATAAATATTTTTCCAAGATGCAAAAATATGAAAATGAAAATGTTTGATAAGGAAATGAAATAGAAAGGAGCCTCACTGAGCTGTTTCTTCCCAAATAGATAAAACATATTATTTGTATAATAATTCACGGGGTTATTTTAATTGGTAAATTGATTGTTGAGTCGTGACCTTATATCGCCTTAAATCAAAGGCTCGACCATTGTTCGTTATAAGTAAGCAATATACAATTTTATTTTATTTTACTTACAAATAGGTGTTTTATTTTTCTACAAATCGATAGAGATGTGTTATCTAATTTACGTTGGTCTGTCGGTGATGATATTAGTAATTATACATAACCGTAATAATTGTTGATATTTTGTCAAGTTGGTGTTTTCTCACCTTTTTCCATTGCATATTGCGAAATTCGAAATCTATACAGAAGCGAAGTAAATGAATATTTACATGAAATGGCGTAGAAATCTTTTTATTATTTTAAAAATAAAATATTCCTTCAGAAAAAGAAAAATTATTTTCCTTTTTTTTATGGGTAAAGAACGAAAAATAAATTTTACGTGTAATAGTTGGTGTCAAGATTTACTCCGAAATAATATATGATTTTTATTGTTAGAAAATATTTTAATTTAAATAATAATATTTATACGTCTTCTCGCCGAATCCCAACAAACGTAAGTACAATCTCCGTGACGAGGGGTGAATCTGGGTTTAGGACAAATATTTTGTGAATTACCCGCCAGATTAGATAATGTTAACTAACAATAAATATAAGTGGTAAACAATTATTTATGTTAACCAACTCGCCAGTTAAGTTATAAAATGGTTCGATTCTGAAATAAATTATAAAATATAAAATAGAATTATAGCTAAATAATAACTAATTTAAATTCGTTTCCGTCATAGCTAGTGGAGTCATGTACCCCTCATTTCCAAAATAAAATAAATTTAATTTCATTATAGATTATATAAAATTTTAGATAAAATTGGTAATAAATTTATATTTAAAAATTTATAATAAATTTACTAATGTTTCCAATTATAAAATTTGTTGAGTCCGCTCCTGGACATGACTACTTCGGTCCGGTTACACGGTTAACTTTTCCACATTGGTTTTTCTTATATATAAATAAATAACAAGATGAAGGAATACCGCAATGTTCCATGCATGCACGCGTTATCGCCATATTATACGTCAGCAAGAAATGTGGGTTGCACCAATCTATTATCATAAACAATTACAAAAAATGAAATAATACGAACTTTCTAATCAAACTATATAACAGAAAACATTAAAAATCGAAATAAGAATTAAAAAAATATATATCGTTAGGGTTTTCTTTTCTTCGCGGAGAAAAATTAAAAAGGTGACGTTATGGTTTTCCAAGTGAGGTGAGACCTGCTGACTAAAATAGGTGAGTTTTGCGTCTTCAAGTAACCTATATGTTATATTCTCAAACCATTTGTTTTAATTTAATTTTATTCGTAGGAACCAACTAATTCTTTTATTGTGAGTGACAATAATTGATTTTGAAGCTAAACAATTATAAGAAATATTTTTCGTTATGATATTTTTTTTTTACCGAATTTCGTTGATGGTGGATTGTTACGGTAGATTGTTATATATATACATATATATATATATAGCATTGGATAACATATCATAAAAAATATTTATTTAAATATAATTTTTAGATTTGTACTGACAAACCCTACGTTATATATATATATATATGCACACACACATACACATATATATTCATTTTCGGGTATCTACTTATTAAATTTTTTTTATCGATGTACTATCTATTTGAACTAGTCTTCTTATAAGTTTGGAAATTTTTATGTACACGTGTGACTCGGGAACAAGATCTCACGAACACGCGCGCACTCATACATACATAATATATATATATATCATTCATCCAAAGGATTATTATCATTTTCTTTGAATAAATAGCCTCGGAAATTATTATTTTGGTTTAATCTTTCTTACGGAAGCTGAAAATATGTCATGAAGAAGTTCCTTAATTAGTGAGGTAATCTATTTGGACCCCAATAACAAAGAGGACAAAACGTGTTGGTTGTTCTGTTTGTACCTTCGTTGTGTTTTAGTTTTCTTTTTTTTTCTAATCACTTTGTAATTAATTTGTTTATCTAATTCTTAATTAATATCTTTAATATATCAACGTGAGCTTCATTAATAAATTTTGACATTTTATCTCAATACTAATCTCAATTAAGTAATATATTAATTTCTCCTAGTGAAATATTTTTCTCACTTATTATCAAAAAAATATTTTCCTCAATTTATTTCATCCATTGGTCACCTATTAGAGAAAGTGCCATGTACTAGGAATGGTTAAATCTGGCATATTAAACATTTTTGGGTATTTAAATGTTTCTCATAGTAAGATTTGAAATTCAATTTTGTATGCGTAGTTTTTGGATACTTTGGGTTTTATATCCGAAAAATGATAAGGTATATGTGATATCCAAATCCAAATTTGATAATAAAAAAAACACTGCTGTAATTTTATATAAATATAGAGATTGGTTTTATATATGTTAAAATTAGAAATGATTTTGTAATTTTTAATAAATATACATATATCTTATAATATGCGAAATTTATATTTGTATGATTTATATTTTCGATTTTCATATAACTTTTTCATACGAATAGATACAACGCGCTTTGGTAAATTTTGTCCACTCTTGTGACGTACCCCTGATAATTTTTAACTTTGAGCTAGATACATTTATACCTCACGATTATTATTTGTTTTCATATATTAGTATTACGTATTGTGTCCTAGTTACATTTATATATATATAGTTAATATTTATTTTTGTTACCAAGTTTCTCGTAGTTGTTTGTAAACCAATACAGAGTATATATATATGATCTTATGCATTTTCTTGAAATATCTTTGAATATTTTCTAGTTTATAAGCTGCAATAATCTCGTACCATATTGAATAACCACACAATTTATTCATGTAATTACCTCATATTTTCATATTATATATATATATATATATCATAATTTCAACATATATTATTCTATGTTATTCCATGACAAGTTTTGGGCTGATGTAATCCAAATAAAAATTTCAGACGGTAAAGATATAAGTATTATGCAATATATTACGCAGCCTTTGGATAGTGACACGGTGAAACTAACAGATTAACTTCCGAAACAAAAAAAAAAACTAATATTTTAAAAAAATAAAAGGATTTAAAGTTGACTAAACACAAATAGTAAATTCCATAATAGAGAAAAAATCATTCTATAAATTTAGGGGAAAACTTTTAACAAAAAAAGGGAAATTGATTAAATGAAAGATAATAAAGAGTTTTATTACAAATTATTTTAACACTAGGATCGTATTTGTTTATGGATATAAAAAATCATATCGAATAAAATAAAAATGTGATATAATATGATATAAAAACTAAATTACCTTAATTCGAATCTAAAACAAATAAAAAATAAAAAATCTATTTTTTGGAAAATGAATATTTATTTAAATTGAATTTACACGGAATCTATATTCCAAAATAAATATAGTTAATTTAAATTAAAAGATTAAAACCAAAATATCCATCCCTACTAAATTCAATATTTTCCGTACAATATTTCTCGTAGTAAATAGTTGAATAAGATTTATATAATAATATTGGTATAGTGAAGTAGAGATATTTTTCTCATTAAAATTTCCATAGACTATGGGGTGAATACAATGTTCTAATTTTTGTGGGTTTCAGAAATTTAATTAGTTAATAAACCGATATACTAATAACAATATATCGTGATTATATTTATATCATATTTTGAGTGTCTACCATATATATATATATATATATATATATAAATGAAAGCATCCAAAAGGCCCGACGGTTTAGCCATCTTTTCTTGGTGTTGGACTTTACACAGCGTTTTTCTTTTTCTTGTTCTTCTTAATTTTCAATGTTTCATGATTCCTTGATTATTTTGATCAATTATATATGTCTGTGTGTCTATACGTATATATACACACACAAATTTCCATATATAAACCAAATCAATAGCATTGAATTTTCAAGAAACAGAAAGGTCTGCCTCATGCTTTCATAGAAACTCGCCACATTTTCATAATTACTACATGAATATAATAATCATCACCATCTAATTGCGACCAAAATACAGTTGGAAAAAAAAAAGAGAAAATAAAATTCGACAATAAACTCAATATTTTCTTAAAAAAATAATTATATAACTCGAAATCTAAAAATTGACTTCCCATCCCACGGCTTTAATCCCACCGGTAAAAGCCCAAGAACCCAACCAAAACTGATCTCTCTTTTCTCCCCAACTCTATATATATATGATCTTCCCTAGAATCATATTTATTTCCGAAACAAAAAATATGACTAATCATCATTTTGAAGTGATTAAAACTATAATATCTGCTATTTTCAATTAGGTTGAGATATGGAGGACGATTCTTGCAATAGTAACAACACGACTAGCAGCAGTGTGAGCAGAGGAGGGCATTGGAGGCCGGCGGAGGATCAGAAGCTCCGGCGACTCGTCGAACAGTACGGCCCTCAGAATTGGAACTCCATCGCCGATAAACTTCAAGGACGATCAGGTAATCTCCGTTGAACCGGAACGAGTTTTAATCTCCGATCCGAAATGATGAAGTGAAAGGTTAGGGTGATCATTTTAGTGTTTTCGGTCCGAGTTCGGTTTGGTAATTTTTTTGTCCGGATTTTTCGCTTTTATAAAAACTACGCTCGTTCGGTTTTTATAATTGAAATCCACTCGGTTCAATTTATAAAAATATTTATTTTCTAAAAAATATTAGATATTCGGTTATTTTTATGTTCGAATTATGTTTTTTTTTTCGAAAAATGTTATAACTATTTGATTTACGGGAAATATCACGAATCCGAATACGATAAATACTCTTTCTAAAGATCTGTAGTTACGTGCGAAAAGTTTATAAATATTTAAATATTCAAGTTAAGATAGATAACAATCAATATATCAAATGAAAATTAATGTTCTATTCTATATATGATGATTTTTTTTTAATATATCAATCAATATTATATCCTATTTTCGTGAAGGCCGATGACAAACATAACAAAGACACATTCTGGGTGTTAATTACGTCGAATTAATCTTTTTTTAGGACAATAGTGGTTGGAATACAATAACAAAGATTATTATAATATATGAACAATCATAATATAATATTTAGTTTAACAAACAAAAAATATAATATTTAGGAGCCATCCTTTCACAGTTTGGATGTCTAAAACGGAAAATAACGGAAATTATTATTTTTTATATAGAAACGTAAATTGAAAATTAAAAAATTGTAACCGAAATATAATCTAAAAATTAACTGGATATTGATATAATTTTATTTGACTCATGTTAACCGAATCTAAACAAAATCGGAACGAATATAAGAATAAGGGATAATCCGAAAAACTAAAATCATTTTTAAAAAATGAAAAATTTTCTTAATGAAAATCAGAACGAAATAGAAGTCAAACCGAATCGATCCAAAACAAAAACCAAATAGGTGTAAAATTTTCAAAATTGAAAATTCAAACAAAAACATAACCGAACGTTGAAATAGGTTCTATATTTATATATTGTCCTATGTTTTTTCGTAGGTTATGGGATAGAAACTATTAATCTTAGGAGTTTTCAGAATTTTTAGAATCCGACCCAAATTTTGGTAGTTCAATCGGCGAAATGGGACGCAAAGTTTGTATCGCATTTCGAGTTCGAACCTCGGGTTTGGGGAGAGAGCAAATATAATCTGCAATCATATGGCTGACTCTTGGTTCCAAGATTAGTTTGGACCTCGGTTCACGATACCCATTTACCCAGAAAAAAATTTTAGAATAAAAAAAAATGGCAATCAAGATTTTGTAAATTTAGTTTTCTTACAAATTTGGGAAACTATTTTACTGAAAAAATTAACTAAAAAACCAAAAAATCTACTTTTTTTATTTACAAATGTTACAAAAATCAAAAGTTAAAAATTCAAAAACCAAAAAGTAAAGCAAAAAACTATCACCATTTTACATGCCAATCCATTTTGATCTATTCCTGTAGGGAAGAGTTGTAGATTAAGATGGTTTAACCAACTTGATCCGAGAATAAACCGGGGACCATTCACCGAAGAAGAGGAAGAGAAGCTGATAGCGGCTCATCGGATCCACGGCAACAAGTGGTCATTCATCGCCAGACTGTTTCCGGGAAGAACAGACAACGCCGTGAAAAACCATTGGCATGTCTTGATGGCAAGAAAGCAAAGGGAAAGATCCAAGAGATGCGTAAAGATCACCCCGAAAACGGCAACTCATCATCCAGACAACGATAACCCCGGAAACGTTATCGTTCCCTCCGGAAAATCGAGAATCGGGTTCGAGGGCAAGACCACGATATTCGAAGCGTGGAACCCGACAAGTAAGGACCAAGAACAAGTTTGTCGAGCCAGCTCATTGTTTCCTCGTACGTATTACGGTATAAACTGTCTAGGATCCAATGCGTTCTTGGAGATTCGTAATCGCAAGATGACTGTTTCGGGTCCATTAGGGTACCACAAGGATGCGACAAAACCTAATAAAATGGATCAAATTACAAAATTTCGTGATAATATGCCTGTCTGGGTGAGTACACGAATGGATTTGAGACAAGAACAAGGAGCAAGTGAAGGAGAAGAATCGTCAACAAGAGAAAATGAAAGTGCTCCTTTCATCGACTTTTTGGGCGTCGGATTGTAAAGTTGCTAATCTATTATACCTTTTTTTTTTCCATAAAATTATCATACTATATATATTTACCCGTTGTTTTTCCAATATTTATTTTTCATATAGCTATATATTTTGTTACTGATATATGGATAGAAACTTTAATGTTTTTAACTTAATAATCAACGAGAGAATACGTAGAGTTTACACTTTTATGAAGTCTACATATTATTGTATTTTTTACTATTGAGAATTTTATTAAAATTAAAATATTTTGTGTTTTACCAAAAAAAAAAAAAAAACTACTTTGTACATTTAAACTCACTTGGATATAAAAATAAAAATAATCATCTCCAACAATATTTTTCCCTAAATATCTATCATAATCTAGTCGCTATTTGAGAATAAAGTTTGTACGAATTTGTAGAAATCTAGATTGGTCGAGTGAAGACATTAAATGGTGGATCAAATAATGTGAAACATTTGTGGTCATGACAATTTGTTAAGAATACCAAAAAAAAATGCAAGCTTCAAACTTAATTAAATTAGTGAGAAAATCATTTTATAGTTCGTTGCTAACTCCCATATTAATATATAAAAAAAATTTAAATTTTGTAGGAAAACTAAACGTACAGCTATTTCGACTCCCAATTAAAATTATAAATCTTACAAGAACTAAAAAAAAATACACAGAATTTTACAAGTCGCATATGGTATTATTAGTCTATGATATATGTTCATATATTATCAACACTTGAAAAAAGAATCCTATTTGGCGAGCAATGAGTTGCAAGTTACGCTGCCTTAATGCAAAACTTGTTAGAGTTGTTCTGAATTTCTCACGTGTGTTTTAAAAAACACGTGCTATATATATATACGTTTACGTTTTGTGGTATGAAGAAATCTTCTACCCTCTTGTCTATTTTTCTTCCTAGTTGCTTCGATATTGTATCAGTACAAAGAGATTTGGGATGGCATTATTTCAATCTATTGGTTCGATTCTATTAACGAGGATAAGATATATAATTAATTACATGACTAAAGACTAACTCCAATATAAAAGATTAAGTGGATCGAACTCAAAGCACCATAAAAGCATGAGTTGTTGATTTGGACAATACTTGTTTTATGAGATGGTTATTTATTTGGCTGGATTTTATGCTAACCTGATTTAAAACTTTGGATATGATTTTTTTTTTAAGATCAAATTCGAATTTTATCCAGGTCTAATACGAAAGTTGCTGAAAGTAATTTTATGTGAACAAAAATCTCTCGGAAAAACATAATTACTTTTTTAAGAAAAATCGAATATCATATCTAAATAAAATTTAAAACGAATCGAAACTTAATGCAAAAGATCGAATAGCTATATATTTTTTCAAAAGAAAAAAAATCTTTCTACCAACTTATGTTTATCAGTTAATTTTTTTGAATAGTTTGATTACGTCATGTTCACATTCTAAAAATAGGTTTTAATTATTAAGTCATTTGGGTTCTCTTTTGGCACAGAAAAAATAGCTGAGATATTTTTTTTATAATTTATTAGTAGGAAAACTTCCTAAATGTGTTAAGGTTTCAATGAAATGTTTTGCATGGCGGATAATCTTTTGCAACAATCAGTTTAATTGGATTAGATGGATAATGATCTGATTAATTAAAATTAGAACCAAAAATATAATACGCGGAAATAATAGAGGGTTTTAAATAAATATTAATTTTAGAAATTATGCTCCTATTGAATGTCTCCACCTGCAAACCAAACCCCCCACCACTTCTTTCCTCTTCTTCGTCTTCTGTCTCTCCCTCTCTCTCAGAATTTCCTCCTTTTTCCTTGTGTATCTTTTTGTTTGTTTATTCCTTTGGGTTTCCCAAACACCAAACCTGACGGAGCCATCGTCGCCGGAACCCTCGGCCTCCGCCGTCGCTCCCCCTCGTGGGGATGCCGCCGTTGAGGTCCCTCCGCCGCCACCCGATCCTTCTCCGGCGGCGGAGCCACTTGCTCTTCCTCCTCCACCCCCGCTGCTGGAAGCGGATCCACTGCCGTCCGATCTCCAACTGACGCAGCAGTCGCCGGATTCCATGATTTCTTCTCGGGATCCCGATGCCCTCTTCAGCGGCGGCGGAATCAGGTATCTTCCATCTCGTGGATCTTCCCCATATTCAAATCTATAGCTGTTTTTGTTGCTTGTTGGATCTCTGGTTTCGCCGGGATCGATTAAATTTAGGATGGAATCATCAATTTGTTCTCCGGTTGATCCAAAATAGGTGCTAAAGAAGATGCATTGTCCAGGGATGATCTGGGAATTATTCGGAACATGTTTCACTCTGTAGTTTGGTAGGATTGTGGAGCATTGAAGTGTTGATATCTCTGTCTTTTTGTTTGGATATAGTTTTCTAGCAGGAACTCAGACAGTGAAATTCAGTTATGGGTATTCTAGTCTCAAGGGTAAACGAGCAACAATGGAGGATTTCTTTGAGACGAGAGTATCTGAACTGGATGGACAGATGGTTGCCTTTTTCGGTGTTTTCGACGGTATGTGGTCAGTTTCAGTTCATTTGTTGCTTGAATTATCATGGTTGAGTGTGTTTGAAAGCAGTTATATTTATCGTTTCTTGTTTAAAGCTTGAGTTTTTCATGGCCATTGTTAAGAAAATGGTTCTCTCTGTTTCTGATAGTCCAATACATTCTTAAAGCTACTGATTTCTCAGAGAATTCTGTAATTTAGGTCATGGTGGCGCTAGAACCGCAGCATATCTTAAGGACAATCTTTTCAAGAATTTGATCAGTCATCCTGGTTTCATCAAGGACACAAAGACAGCCATTGGTATGAAGGTGTTGGAGATTTTGTTTCTTGCTATGAAATAAGTTCCTTCCTTCTTTTGGTTCTTTCCCTGAAAGCTTGAGTTTTACTTTGCAGTTGAAGCATTTAAACAGACGGATGAAGAGTACCTCAATGAAGAGAAAGGCCAACAAAAAAATGCTGGCTCGACTGCATCAACTGCGCTGCTTCTAGGGAACAAGTTGATTGTTGCAAATGTCGGCGATTCTAGAGTGGTCGCATCTAGAAGTGGCTCAGGTTTTGGCGTTAAACTGATTCTTTTCATTTCTAACGTTTTGGCTTCAGTGTTATATGACATAGTACTCTCTCTCTTGTTCGTTCTGTAGCTGTTCCACTTTCTATTGACCACAAACCTGATAGATCAGATGAGCGCCAAAGGATTGAAGAGGCTGGTGGTTTTATCATCTGGGCTGGTAAAGTTTCTCTTTGTTTTATCTTCTTTTGGTCAAACAAACACATACACTGTAGGTGAACTCGTATACTCCTGTTATAGCACCTGCTCTGTAGACAAAGGTTCATACTTGACATAGATTCTAATGATATGTGATGTGCAATTTTCAATCTTGTGGTGCTTGATAAAATTCAATCTGGATGTATCAGACACTCCTTGGAATTTCTTACACGGCAACGGCAAGAGGATTTTATCTTTCAAGCCTTTCAGTTAATCGGTTTACCCTTGAATTACACTAGGAACGTGGCGAGTTGGTGGAATTCTTGCTGTTTCCCGTGCATTTGGGGATAAGCAACTTAAGCCCTATGTCATTGCAGAGCCAGAAATTCAGGTACCTAAATGGCTTGCACTGCTTCTTTACTCTCTTTGAGCTTCTATATTTTCTTTTTCGGTTTGTCTCCTAGAAATTTACAAGCAAATTGGTTTGTATGCCTACATTGCATAATACTGCCTTTTTTTTTTTTTTGAGATGCCTTCTCTCTTACATTGGATACTTTTATATTGCTTAAGGAGGAAGACATCAGCACAGTGGAGTTTATAATTATTGCTAGCGATGGGCTTTGGAATGTCATGTCAAACAAGGTGAACTCTCGGATTCCATCCTAGAGTGACTCTATTGATGATGTTCTATCTTGAAATCTTTACTGAAACTGGACTTGTGAAAAATATTTCCGAAAGCACTAAAGCATATGATATCATCGATATATAGAGACGAGAATTGATGCTCATTCTGTTTTCTCATGCTTTTGCCCGACCCATCAGTTTTAGTCTTTGGTTTTGGGAATAATACCCATTTCTGCATAGTGGGCTTTTGCAAACAATCTAGATCTTCATTTTAGGGTTTTGAAGTTGAGATTTTTTCCTATACCCCCAACCAGTTTTTATAGCTCTGGATATTTCCTTGTTCACCATCAAGAAAGGGAATAATCGAACAACGATGCTTGTTTGTGATCTACCTCTTTCAGGACGCTGTGGCAATAGCACGGGACATTTTAGACACGGAAGCAGCATCAAGAAAGCTGGTGCAAGAAGCATATGCAAGAGGTAGCTGCGATAACATTACCTGCATTGTTGTTCGATTCGAGGTTTCGTGAGCAAGAACTGTTTCGACTCGTTAAAGGTCAGTCATATCAAACTTAGCAAAGAGAGGGTTGAAGCAGGTCTTATTACAGCTGCTTTGCTCCAAAAATACCTGAGAACTATTCTCTCTGTTGTATTCCTTCCATGTTCTTGTTTTAGCCAAACAGTGTCATTGTTCACACTTTTAGTAAGTAATAAATTAAGAGGAAAATAGAATTATTGGACTCTTCTTCCACTTTGTATCTCCACCAAAACTACACACTTGCTTTTACAAAATTCATCTCAGAAGCCCATCTAATGATAACTCACTTAAAAAGGAAACACTCAAAGCCAACATAACAGTGTTCTCCTGGTGCAGTTGCTTCTATGCTTCACTTTCATCAGCATCTTCGATCTCTCCTGTCAAGATTCACATAAAGGTGAGACACGGTTTATTTCCGAGTATGCAGTTCATTTCGATTTTCAGAACAAGAACAAACCAAATCTATCAAACCGGAGTTTGACGTGGGCTGGTAAACCTGATGGGAAACTGTCCTGATTATCCGGTTCATTCCCTAATCTGGGTTACAAAAGGACCAGATCCAGATCAAAGCCAAAACCAGTAAATAGTAGAAAACCGGATTCAGCCCACAAACCGAACCGGTTCAGAACCGTTGGAGATTCACTTTCACCAATGTCGGAATACTTCTTCTTGCGCTTCCTCCGCCGATCTTCACCACAGTTCTAATCAAAATACCCAATAAGCAAAATAGGATCGGTTCTTGGTCCATTATAAGAATCTCTCTAAGCTCTGCATCGTCCCTAACTAAAGCTCTGAAACTGAAGATCATAGATGTGAGGCTTCGTATGATTAGCAATGGCGGCCACAAGGGAAGAAGTCCTTTACAGTGCAAGTAAACCATATCAGAACATTTCTAAAACTCTTCCCTTTTTTTATGTTTTTTTAAATATCTGGTTTCCTTCTTTTTCTCTGCACTTTCTCGGTATCAAACAGGTGTGGAAATTTGCAGAAATAATCCCGATATCAATGATGAAATGTTATTGAATGCCTGAAAAAACAAAAGGGTTCCACATTTTGTCAAATCTTGGACGGCCGGTTATAGAAAACTGTATATAATAAGATGGAATAAACCAATCATATCATGTGATACACGACATACGGGTTGCTATGATCTTGCAATAAATGAGAAGTGGACCTACTCTACAAAGAAATGCTCCTTTTCTTCATCTTCTGCAAAGCATTGAGCATTCTGATATTCGGAATCCCAAATCAGTAGTGTCAATATTGCATAAGTTTCATGACTGCCATGAATTTGGATCTGACCAGCGTCAAAGGTGTACACTTTGTTCTTTACACCGATCTTGCTTGAATCCAGAACCAGTTTCAACCCGCTTTTCTCCATCGCATATCTTATCCTCACCAATTCCTCCCACTGCCAGTTCGTCTCGTAGATATTGGCCAAAACCTGGTAGGGAAACAATGACTCGGGTTCAGATTCCAACATTCTCTCTGCAACTGCTTCGGCGAGAAACAGATCTCCTAGATTCAGACAGGCAGTGAGTATAATTTCCCAGACACGAGAACTAGGTTCAAAAGGCATATTCTGGGCAATGTCTATTGCTTCACTGATCATACAACCTCTGCACAGCAAGTCAACGAGACAGGCGTAGTGCTCGTCATTGATTCCAATTCCATATTTCTCCATCGAGGAAAATATTCGAACGCCTTCGCTGACAAAGCCGGCTTCACAGCAAGCTAGCAACATGCTGGTGAATGTCACTTGGTCCGGTTTCAGACCTTGTTTCAGGAAATGTGGGAAAATCCCGAGGCACTTGGTTGCTCTGCTGTTTCTGGCCAAGCCCACAATCATGGTGTTCCATGAGATCAAATCTCTTGAATCTGTAGCGGCAAATATCTCAATCGCTGAACCAACCAACCCGTTTTTGTTGTACATTTCCATCAGCGAGGTAGCTACGGTCGTGTCAGATTCAATACCTAACTTGATAGTCAAAGAATGAACTTGCTTTCCATGATCAAGCATCACAAGGGAGATTGAGCTCAGAACACTGCTTATAGTGAACCCATCAGGCATGATGTTCTGCCTCAAGGCAAGGACAAAGACCCTGAGAGCTTCCTCTGCAAATCCATGAAATGAATAGCTTGCGATGATGGAATTGCATAGCGCTGGATCCCAATTTTCTAACTCTTCGAAGAGCTGAACCGAATCCACCAATCTGTTGCATTTGGAGAACATGTCAATTGCAGCTCCTGAAACAATGGTGTTTGAAAGAAATCCCATCTTGATACAAAGAGCAAAGACCTGCTTACCCTTGACAAGGTCTTGTAAATCTGAGCAAATAGATAAGATTATCGAAACTGTGTATTCATCGGGTTCATACCCCATTGTCATCATCAAGAAGAACTGATTTAGACCAAGTTCTTCATTGCCCGAAGCCGAACAACATAAGATCAAAGAGTTCCACGATATGTTATCCAAATCCTCCATTGTGCGGAACACACCAAAAGCATATTCAACAGGCCCGAGTTTTCCATACATATCTATCAATGAATTCCACACAACCAAATTGGACCGACTAACGCCTCTGCGAATCATATTACCATGAATCTGCTTCCCATGACGAGCACAGAAAGCAAGAGTAGTCACGATAGAAAACGTGAACTCGCTCACTCGAACTCCCCGATTCTGCATATCAGAGAAAATCTTCATCGCGCAATCAGAAAATCCATACGAGGCTAAACCTCTTATCATCGTGTTCCAAGTAACCACATCTCGTTCAGGCATTTCACCAAACACACTCAAGGCGTCATCGAGATTACCGCTATCCAACAAACCCTTTAAGCAGACATTCCACGAAATAGTGTTCTTGTCGGGAATATCATCAAACACACTCGAAGCATCGGTAATGGAGCCGGATTTGAAGTAAAGCTCAAGACAGCGATTGCCCAGAAAAGTATTGCGGATTAATCCAAGTTTGATCAACTGGGCATGAACGCTTCTGGTCAAAGTCTCGGACTTCATGGGCAAATAATGATCTATGAGACGAGAAATGTAGCACAAAGACGGTGTTCGGAAGCCATGAGCTCGTCTGAGCAGCGGGAACATACATGTCTTTGGGGCTTTCAGGTTTTTCCCCCCTTCCTTTTTTATTGTATTTTCTGGGCACCAGGGCAAAGGTATTGCTTTTTAAGGTCACCGCTGCGTTTGCGGTTAAAACGTAAACGCTGAGGTTTCGTTTGACTTCTCACTGCCAACGCAAACGCAGCCTACCCCGCTTCTTTTGACGTTTGAAATACCCATGTTTAGTGTATATATTATGTATATATAAGTAGAATTAATTTTCAAGATCATATATATATATATATATATATATTATGAATGTAGAATTCAAAATGAAAACTGTGTTGGTGAATCGACTAGAACTAGCAAATGTTTGTGGAGTGTACCCATAATTTACGGTTTGAATTCTTATATATCTTTGGATATAAATACATTTATGTGCATGAAAAACAATATTTTTTTTGTTAATATGGAAGTTAACCGGATCTTTGGTTATGAAAACAATATTTACCTATAAAATTACATTTTCTACTTAGGAAAAAACTGTGAATTTGAACGAAGAATACTCGATCATGGTACTAAGACTATTACGGGTTCAAATGTTAGTAATAATAATATTGATTTTTTCACTCATAAATTTTACTCGTATATCAAGGAGTATTTCTATTTGTCTTAAGGAAGTGTGCAAGTTAAAATCCCTTTAATTATTTGGCACAACTTGAACCGGTCTGTAAGTCAAACCGTTGACCCTAAATTTAAATGTGTTAGAAACAACCATATTTACACACATCAAATTAAATGTTTTATTGAAACCGAAAAATGAATTAAGGCATGACTGTAATCTTAGGTTCTTATAACCATTGACTACAAATTTTTTTTATTTAAAAAAACTCTTGAAACTAAATATCGCTGTAACTCCTGCAGTTAGTAAGCATTGAATTGATTGTGAAATTAGAAAACGGTAGCATTCTGAACCCTATAAATTTCAAATTGTTGTTATCGTTTCACATATCATCCAAACACAATATCTAGTTTCTTCTCCAACAGGTTTTATTGGAAAGAAAACAAGCCACTCTCTTTCTTGTTATTTTAAATCTGCAACAATGGAGAGCAAGTGGAGAGTGATCTTTTCGGTGATGCTGATTGCGAGTTTGAGCATCGCTGATTGTGTAAAACAAAGCCTGGCGGCAGAAGGGCAGCAACCGCAACAACTTCCCGGTATTCCTGGACTCTTTCCGTTCCCACCTGGTGTTCCCGGTTTACCAGGTTTCGGTTTACCCGGTTTCGGTTTTCCGGATTTGACAAAGTGCGGGTCGACGTTGTTCAACATCCCAGGATGTTTGTTGCAAATATCAACATCAATCTTCACCGGACAATTCGGAAATGTCGGAATTCCATGTTGCAAGGAGCTTTTGGATTTAAGTGAAAATTGTTTACCATCCATGTTTCCTCTTAACCCGTTTCTTCCACTTCTCAAGAGTAGTTGTTCAAAGGCCGTGGCGGCTCCCCCTGCTGCAAAGTAGAATGTACAAGTTTTTGGATTTATGTCGTGGCGGTAGAAGTTTGCAAGAGATTTATGTCGTTATTTACAAAGATTAATATAATAACGTTTAGTAATAACATCTTTAGTTCTGATATAACCATTTTATATCCGACATCTTTTCTACCTGAGAAAGAAACTTTTGGGTCGATATACATATGCATGAAACCGGTATGAACGTTTTATGCATTCATCCACTTTTTCTGCCAAGAAGAAAGGAAAAAAAAACTCGTGTGTGTATTTATTTGACAAGGGGGGATCCCCACGATCCTTTTGCAATGGTTCGTAATTATATCAAAAAGTCTACGTGAATCTCGTCGAGGTTATCTCGACGCCTTTCGTGAGTGGAATTAGCTTAATGGGTGGAAGACCATCTCAATCATCACACTGTCGGGGATCTCCCCCATCTCTGTTGGTTTGAGAGCCCACTTCCTGAACAAGAGGTCGTGGGTTCAACACCCAGGGTATGGAGATTTCCCCTCCGGCCACCTTCGGGTGCTTCACATCCCACACGTGTGGTGTCGGTTGTGCGTGTGGGTCGAGATTAGGCTGGGCCCTTTGGGCCTGGGATTACCCGGTTATCAAAAAAAAAAAAAAATTCATCACACTGTCTCGTCAACCACTTCTTTCTAAATTCTGGATTCTCCACTTTCAACATAATCTTGACTTGGTTTCTTTGTTTGAGAAAATATCTTCTACATAAGCTGTACTTGGTTTTTATAGGAAAGATTATGGATTTTATCTTAAAATAATATATGGTAAATCCTATTAAAATCTCTAAACTTTAAAACTAAAGTTTACAATGGTGAATGTTTTTAGGGGCTTTGGAATCCAAAAATAAAAAATAACCAGTTAAGTTTTTATAAATTTAGTTTTCTAAAAATTCGGAAAACTATTTTGTAAAAAAATCAAGTAAAAACCAAAAACTCATTTTTATAGGATTTTCAAGGAAATAGGATTTTTCATTAAACTGTTTTAATTTTTTATTAACTATTAATTATATAAAATATTTAAGATATAAAAATATCCATAATTTTAAAGAAAATTTCACTTTATACATATGTATAGAAACCCTTTTATAATTTTACATATAAAAATCTAAAAATCAGGAACTAAAATATTACTCTTTCAATCAAATTTTATAAAAACTACAAAAGCCAAAAATAAAAAACAAAAAACTAAAGTAAAAACTCAAAATAAAAACTATCATTCGTACCCCTAATTGCTAAACTTTTTATTTGATAAATTTATTTTCAATATATAATTATAATTCTCAAACTTATTAATTGGTATCAAAATAAACCTTAATGAGTTTTACTTACAAATTCGTGTGAGAATTATAATGATGACACATTTTGCAAGTTTGATAATTATAATGACACATTTTACAAGTTTAAAAATAATTTTGTCAAGCGAAAAGTTTAAAAATTATTTTTCTACCACTGTACAAGTTTAGAAATTTTAATGGTATTTACCCTCTAAAAAACCATATAACTTTTTATATAATCTATAAATAAATCATATAATATGAAAAGACTATTATAAACAAAATATTATTTTAAGTAGACATAAAGCGAGCCATCGGAAGACGAACAATGATGTATGAGCAACAGAGTTGGAGAAGCCCGAGCTAAGGAGGAACTGATGGAGTTCAGTGTACCAAGCCTTCTAAGCCTGTTTTAGACCGTAGAGAGCCTTGTGAAGTTTGTAAACATGGAAAGAACGATATTGATCAACAAAGTTCGGGAGTTAGACCATGTATACAGTATCACAGAACTGGCCTTTAAGAAACGCATTGTTGAAATCAAGTTGACGAAGGAACCAACTATGAGTGACGACGATGCTAACGACAAGGCGGACGGTTGCCGGTTTGACGACGAGATTAAATGTATCGTGATATTCAACTCCGGAGTGCTGAGCATTGATGAAAACCCTTGGCAACGAGACAAGCCTTCCTTGTATCTGTCAAAAGAACTATCACCATGATGTTTAGTGCGAAAGACCCATTTGCACCCAACAACATTAAACGAGACATCCGAGAATAACAGATTGTTGTAACGTAAACATAGGCACATCGTGGGAACGAGGCTCACGAAAAAAAAATAAAACATGGGACATCGTTAGATCAGACACTATACCATATACTACAATGTAGTGAATAGGTTCTTACATATATTATTTGTATAATACAACCGAGATATATACATGGAAAAAGAGACAAACTAGGCAACAGGATGCCATACAATCAAGATTAATTGATATGTATATTAACAACAAGATCTCCTTACGTTAAGTAGTACGTTTGAATTTTTAGTATAAATATAAGGTGTTGTATGGAGTTTTTCATGTCTAACTACTTCTAGTTATTTCTTTCTAAATATTTATCTCTCTTTTTTCTCTTTGATATTTCTTTATAAAGTTCTAAAAAGAAGTATTATAAATCTTCGATATTTTCTAATTTTTCTTTCTTTGCATTATGCATTAAAGAATAAAAGATACGAAAATTGTGAATGATAATATAATATAAGCTTCATAACAGTGACAAGTGCTTCCGCTCAATACACTCAACGATCCCAAGAATGGATATCTTTACGACGGTGATCACTGTGTCTTTGGTGTTGACGTATTTATTAATGAGAACTTTTACCGTTACTGACAAGTTCGATTTCCCCAAATTCACTTGAACGCTCCCTAAATTCTCGTCATTAGAGAAATAGTTTTACTTATCGAAGAAAAAAGTTGGTCAGTCTATATTCGTTTATACAATTCTATGTATAATATCCTCTATATTGGTCTTTACTATTTTTTTGTATAATTTAATTATGATACAAAGGGTGCCTTCGGGTTTTAGAAGATGTAGTCGGATCGAAAGTTCGATAAATTGTCGAGTTATAAAAAAATTGAAACGAGAAAATCATAAATATAATATTTTTATATATTTTTCTATAAATATTGAAATATATTCGAATTTTATGAATAGTTAAATTTAAATAGATAATTATCTTATAAATATAATTTAAAATATTTTTATTAATTTATTATTTTAAAGGTAAAAGCTATAAAAAATTCTAAACTTATAAAATGGTGAAAAATTAATTGCCAAACTTTTCGCTTAACAAATTTATTCTCAAACTTACAAAATTTTATCATTATAATTTTCAAATTTGTTAATTAGTATCAGAGAAAACCTCCACGATATATTATTGATTCAAAAAATCAATTTGAGAATTATAATAATACATTTTGAAGTTTGAGAATAAATTTGTTAAGTGAAAAGTTTAGCAATTAAATTTGTAGGACGACAACCAACTCCAACCGCAATAAAACGCGAGATTTCTAATCGCAATTTTATACTCGCATATTGGTTGCGATTGCAGGTGTACGAAACGCTACCAAAAAGGCGAGTATAAAATTGTGATTAGAAATCTCGCGTTTTATTGCGGTTGCAATTGAATGCGGTTTTATCAGTCACTTTTTCAATCGTCTACCGTCACTAGAAACCTCAATTCCTCCATTTGCGGGTGGTAGCGGTGCAATCAGTTATCTCCTTAATGATTTTGATTACTTGAGTGTTGTATTTATTGTTTGGCCCAAAAGAAAAATTAGTGTTGATTCAAAATAAATATAATACAAAAACTATTTTTATAATGAAATTACATTTTCAAATCAAATATAGATACAGGAAAAAAATCATATTTTAAAAAAATATAAAACAAATAATCAGTTTATCAATGTATCGATTTATATTTGCGCCTTCTTGTATTTGTAGAACATTATCTCGGTCTTAACAATATATTTATCATTTTCAAAATATACACATTAACAAAAAGTTAGATTTAGAGTTAATTCCGATTAAAAAAAACGAGTTGAATCGTGACTTTTATGAGTTAGCTCGTGTGAACTCGTGATTCGTAATGAACTTGGCCCGTTTCACATGTTTTTTGTACCGAAATAAAATGGTAAACCATCATCATCTCACACAAGAATTGAGTTGATTTTGAATACATTAGGATATGTTTGGTTTAAGATTCTACGGACACGTTTTCTGAAATTTCTACATCTTTTCAATTTTGAAAGTTCAATGCCTATCATTACAACTTGTCTGACTTTGGGTGAAGCCCGGTAAGTGCACGTCACGCCAATACAATCGTCAAACCGAAATTCACACCCTAACGAAATTTCGAGGAAAAATTAAATGTCACACATATATTATATACACGCGCCCACACGCGTATCTAAAGGTTTGCAAAAAAAAAACAATCATTTGCAGACTAAAAGTAAACACATTTGACCACGCTTATATTTACTCTTAAACCTACTCGTCTTCTTCGTAGAGGAAAGACAAAACAAAGAAACCCTAATTGAGGTTGTTGCTTCAGATTCAAGTTAATCTCCTCCGGTTCTTGTCCTTGATTCTTGAGTTAGAGTCTGCAACAACAGGAGAAAGAAACAGCATATGCTGATACCTACCTACCTGTCTTGGTAGAGGAAAGACAACAACAACAACCAAAAAAAAAAAACCCTAAACGGGATGTTGCTTCAGACTCAAGTTATTCTCCTGCAGTTCTTGTTCTTGATTCTTGGGTTAGAGTCTGCATCAACGGGAGGATTGGCCTTACCCGGATGCTCGGATAAATGTGGAAACATCAGTATCCCTTACCCGTTTGGGATAGGCCGTGGATGCTACCTGGGAGATGCTTACGCCGTCGAATGCCACGCCCCGAACCTCCTACTTCTTTGGGAAAGTAGAGTCTCGGTGCTTAACTTGACGCTTGAGGGCTATATCCGCTTGGCCTTAAACGTGTCCTACAAGTGCAGAGACTTGAAGAGCAACAACTCCGAGAGTTCCGAGCCCTCGTACAGTTTTACCCGGTTTGCCATCTCGCCAACCAGTAACAAACTAACTGGAGTTGGTTGTGGCGGTTTCGTAACTATGATGGATATGGACAATATGCAAAATCAGTTCAGTTGTGCCACGATGACTAATCAGAGCCACGGCATGATAGACGGTAAATGCAACGGTTATGACTGTTGCCAGCTCCCAATATCTGGGAACATTTCACGGTTCCTAATACAAACAACTATACCAAGTAACCCTGACTGCGCACCATGGCCAATTTCTTGCCACTATGCATTTCTGGTTGAAGATGAAGGCTATGAGTTCAGGTCCTCAGATCTTCTTGTCTTGAGGGAAAGCAGAGAGCGTCCGGTGCTATTTAACTGGTGGGTGGGACAAAACAGATGCAGAGAAGTTATACAGGGATCGGGATTTACATATGCATGTAAAAGTGATGAAAGCATTTGTTTAGATTCAGATCACGGACCCGGTGAAGACTTTTATATAAATTTGAATTATAAATGAAAGAGAATGAATGAGTTTTTTGTATATGTGAAAGAGAATGATGAAATGAAGATATTAAGTATGCATATGAAAATGTATTGAAGATGTGTATTGGAGAAATGTCTCCTGCATGTCTTATTCTTAAGTGTTGACTTTAGAATACATATATATACAAAATAGAATCAAAATATTATGGAAAGGTAATAAGTGTAAAACGGCTAGATACAATTATGGTAACAAATATGTAATATAGCATATTGACTCCTTGATTGATTTTGTCCATATATTCTCCAACGGCTAGCTTGAACTTGAGTAAGATTATGATCTTTCTTGATGCTCATTTCATTTATGGACATCTTATTTATATTCTCCATGGTCTTCATATTCTTTAACTTCTTGCGCAAGTGCAACAATATTCTAACACCCGGGTATCTCTGTAATTGTACCGAAGGTTACCAAGGCAATCCTTACCTCAAGAACGGCTGCCAAGGTACATGTCATCCCTTTATCATTTTCTTAGTGTATTCTCTCAATTCTCTATCTACATAACTGACATGAGCTAGTTGTACCTCCAGATATTAACGAGTGTGAGGATCCATACCTAAATAACTGTCTCACAGAAGCAAGTTGCCGGAATGTCAAGGGTAACTACACATGTGACTGCCCCAAAGGCTACCACGGGGATGGCAGAAAAGACGGAACTGGTTGCACGGCTGATCAACCGAAATGGACAAAGATTATAGTGGGTGAGAGGAATCTTTTCACACCGCGCTTTTCATCCTCGAACCTCCTAAATTTCTGAATAGCATTGTGGACGACCAACAGAAAATAACCAGATGGTTTTCTTGTTTCCAACAACAGGAACTGTCATAGGATTCCTGACGATATGTCTGGGCATCTCTTGGGTGTACTTGGCAGTCAGAAAAAGAAGGATAATAAAACTGAGGGAGAAGTTCTTCGAGAGAAATGGCGGCTTCATGCTACAGAAAGAACTCTTAGGGATGGACAAGTCGACAAATCAAACCCAGATCTTCTCAGCAGAAGAACTCAAGAAAGCTACCGAAAATTTCCACGAGAGTAGAATCCTTGGTCAAGGTGGCCAAGGGACGGTATACAAAGGAATATTATCCAATAACCGAATTGTGGCGATTAAGAAGGCCAAGATAATGGACACTGGCCAAGTAGAAGAGTTTATCAACGAACTAGTTGTTCTCTCTCAGATTAACCACAGAAACGTGGTGAAACTCCTAGGTTGTTGCCTGGAGACAGAAGTTCCACTATTGGTTTACGAGTTTGTGATCAATGGTACCCTTTTCGACCACATTCATGTCCAACACAATTCACTAGTCCTCCCATGGGAAACCCGACTCAAGGTAGCCACAGAAAGTGCCAATGCCTTCTCATATCTCCACTCTGCAGCTTCTATCCCGATCATTCATCGAGACATCAAGTCTGCTAATATCTTACTGGATGACAACTATGCAGCCAAAATTGCAGACTTTGGAACATCAAGATTAATTCCAATGGATCAAAAGCAAATAACAACGCTTGTGCGGGGAACCCTTGGGTACTTGGATCCTGAGTACTTCCGCACAAGCCATTTGACTGAAAAAAGTGATGTCTACAGCTTCGGTGTAGTTCTCCTCGAGTTACTTACCGGAAAAACGGCACTTTCTTTCCGCAGGCCAGAATCTGAGAGGCACCTGGTCACAAACTTTGAATCTGCAATACAAGAAAATCGATTACTCGAAATTCTAGACCAGCAAATTCTAACTTCTGAAAACATTGAGCAACTCAAAGAAGTGGCTGATTTGGCTATGCGTTGCGTGAAAATCAGAGGAGAGGAGAGACCGACAATGAAAGACGTTGCGGCAGAACTCGAGGATTTAAGGTCTTTGGGAACCAATAATGCCCCGAAATCACATCACCACAAACATATAGTGGGAAGCACAAACAATGATCAGCCATGGACGGTGTGAGGGGTCCGAGTAAACTCGACAATTAAGAGACCGGAAGATGCTCTCCATGTTTTCTTTTTCTTCCTTTTACAAGAAACTATGTAGCTATGCAATTTCCCTCTATCTACGTGACGTTTGCCTACAATATAATCTTGGTGGGACTCTTCCTCCGGCCCCATTCGGCTATACTATCTTCCCTCAAATACAATGTTTGTAACCCTTTCCAAGATGCACCTCCATTTTGCATCAAAAGTGATGATAATGATCCTTAAAACCAGGCTTTCTTCTTGTATTATCTCTAATCCAACAATTTCCAGGAACATTTGGAACTGAAAACTCGAGAAATTCTCCCATTTCCATGCCCATAAACAAATGGAACAAAGACTCATAATGTGAAGAAATGAAACCGCAATTAGAAGGCTTCGAAAGCCACCATCTCTCAGGAATTTCTACAAACACCTTCAGAGCATCCTAAACAATCACTCGTTCTTTAGAATTTGCCACCAATTCCAACCATAAAATCAACAAGATTTAACCTTATTCCGCACCCCCTGAAATGGCGGACAAGACATAGCAGCGGACGGAAGAAAACGGCTACAAAGAGAGTAAGACGCTATCATCGCGAATGGAACAAAACAAACATAGAAGACTCCACGCTGACAGGCTTCGACGGGTAACGGGTCACCCGCATCTCGCGTAAACGGGTCGGATCCAAACCGTGTGAAGGTAGAAGATGATGAGCTGGGATTGCTGCTATGCTTCAGTATCAAATATTCTCCAAGGAACTGCTGTTGGTAACTTATGGAATCTGAAAATGTGCGAGAGAGGTACTAAATGGCGTATTGCAGGGGAAATCCGGTCATGTTCAGATAGAATCCCATGGATTCTCACGTTTGGGTTTATGTCCGAGTAAAACCGTAAAGGTAGAATCATATTCATATTATATTAGCATGGACAAATACTAAAAAAAACTCCACAAAAAAGATTGAACTTTTCATTTTATTTATCAAATAAATATTAAATTTTTTATTTATGATTGTCAAAATAAATAAAATGACTGATATAGTACAAAGAAATTTAAACACGTCAATTCACTTAGTTTACTTAACTTTTTTGACAATCGAAAAAAAATTATGTATTTTTTAGATTATTAAAAAAATTCAGTGTTTTTGTATAATTATAAAAAAATTTATGTATTTTTTAGATCATTTAAAAAGTTCAGTATTTTTTTAAATTCGTTTAAAAAATTTAATATTTATTTGATAAAAAATAAAGTTTAATATTTTTTTTATGAAAATTGAAAATTTTAGTCTTTTTGGGATTTTTCTATTAATATTAACCATACTCCTGAGCCTTTATAAATTTAATGTACGAGGGAAGATATGACATTTTACACCATTATTTTTGTTTTTAAAAATATATGTCATTCAAAGATTTTTAAATAATTTTGTAAAATAATTTATAATTTTATTTTTAATTAAAACTATTACAATTCTAAAAAAATTAATAACACCACAGTTTTTATAATTAAATCTAAATATTAAATAAAGCTGTATAACCTTTTTATATATTTTTTAAAAAGTGTGAAAAATTCTAAAATGACAATTATTTAGAAATGGAGGTAGTAGATTTTTTTAAAAAATTTGAATACATTCAAATTAAGGTTCATAAAATTTTATAAAACATGATGAAAACCCATTTGTTTTATTTGCTTCCAATTTTATGTTAAAACAAAGCAAAACAGTGATCCTTAAGCCACTCCTTGTTTGATGAACGCAGATATCCTAAATTTTTTTACTACCCCATTTCGACATCGCTTATTGGGTTTTGTGATCTTCTGGAAGGCCGCGATGAGTGTTCGAGTACCCGCATGCGAGGAAACAGGTTGCGGGTCGGCGAGAAATGCAGAAGATGGAAATCAGACAAAGTCAGGGGAGACGAAAAGGTTGGCTCGAGGCGTACCGACCCAGTCCGATGTTGTTCAAAGTATTTGCAAAGTTGGGTGTATCAGTCAATCGGGAAGTGATTGATGCCTAACAGATGGGAGAATAAAAATAATTAAAATTACAAAATTGGATTTATGCCCAACACCCACCCTCCCTTGTCGTGTAGCACTGAGAGGGAAAGATCAAATAAATACACATTGTATGATTCAACTCGATTGAGACAAGCCAGCCCGATCCCTAACACGACGTCGTTTCTCGACGGGTTTCCAGATCTGTCGGTGAACCGCGTGGGTGTGGTACAATAACTACTTTTTGCTATAAAAGTCTGGCCTTAGCCCACTAGCTCACTGGCTCGCCCGTTTTGATCGGATCCGAGAAATCTACTCTTCGCGCTCGAAATCGGAATTGCTGAGCGCCTGAGGCACCCATTTCTGGTAAGTTTGTCAAAGTGTCGTTGATGATGCCGATTGTGCTGTGTATTTCCATTTCTCCTTTCTTATTTGCGAAATTCTCGTTTTTGGCTGGCTCCCCTTGTAGTTGTTGCTTCTGGGTAAGTTCGTAATGTATGATCCTGGGCTACTGAAGGAGCCTCTGTCGAGTTCGTTTAAGTTCTTGATTGATGGATGTCTGTTCTGAAGTTTCGGTTAAAGTCCTGTGTTCTTCGGCTGATGCGTTTGTGCCACTGATTTGAGATCGTATTGGATCGGACGAGTCAGTTATGTTTCGGCCGTGGATTCACTGGAATTAACAGTGTTTTATGATTTTGATCCATTAGATCTCTAACTGCAAGTTTTCTGCTTTGCTTTTGTCTGCTACATCATCTTCTCTATAAGTTTGGACTTTGGACATCTTATTGCTACTCAGTGAAGGCATCCCCTTGTGAGATATAAACGAACCGGGCACCGCTAAAGAACGTAAACACTGGGATATCGGAATTTGAAGTATAAGAACATTGTCTGAAATGGGTATCTAGATTGTTTACGTCTCAGATATGGTTCTGGATCAGCTTGTCTGTTTGAGAAATTTTAGCGTAATTCGTATTGATGGATCACGGTTGTAGGTTTTATTAACTGTGATTAGTTTAACATTTGTCATTTTAATTAGGAGTCGGTATATCATCTCCTTAATGTAATGTTAGAAACCATGCACTTTTACAGCATCTAAATCTTTTGGGTGTTCTGCCTATAATCGGTTCTCAGGTGCATGTGACAAGGGTGCAGTGACTCGAGGACAATGGCCATGGGAAAGTATTCCCGTGTAGACGGGAAGAAGTCGTCGAGCTACGGCTTAACCATTACCGTACTTTTGTTTGTTTCCCTCTGTCTTGTTGGGGCATGGATGTTCATGTCTTCATCGTCTGCCACTGATGAATCTGTGGACTTGCCGTCCAGAGAAACTACAAAAGATGTTGAACGTTCAACGACTGACTTCACAGAAGAAGTAGTTTCCAAGAAAGATTCTGATGGAAAGAACGAGGAAAATGAGGTTCTAACAGAGAGTGGTGAAGAGAAGAAAGATGCAGAAAAATCTGCTGAGGAGAAGCAGGACGATCAGAATTCCGGTGAGAAAACTGAGTCAGAGGAGGAAAGAAATGAAGGTGGTGATGCCTCCAGTGACGATGGAGATGGTGAGAAAACTTCAGATGCGAAAGAAGCAGAAGGTGATGAGGCGAAGCAAAGTGAGGAAACACTACTGGAGAAGAGCTCGGAAGAGAACAAATCTGATGATAGTGGTGATAGTGAAGAAAAAACTCAAGAAAATATTGGCGAATCTGAAGAAAACGCTGAGAAAAAGTCTGAAGAAAATTCTAGGGAATCTGATGAAAATGCTGAGAAGAGTACCAAGGAAGTCTTCCCAGCCGGTGACCAGGCTGAGATCATGCAAGAGGCCAAGGCTGAATCAGGGGCTTGGACAACTCAATTGGTCGAATCACAGGACGAGAAGAAATCTCAGCAATCTTCAATTTCTAAGGATCAAAGCAGCTATGGCTGGAAAGTCTGCAATGTCACAGCTGGACCAGACTACATTCCTTGCCTTGACAACTGGCAAACTATCAAAAATCTTCCTACTACAACGCATTATGAACACCGTGAACGACACTGTCCTGAGGAACCTCCTCGATGCCTTGTCTCTCTGCCTGAAGGATATAAACGCTCTGTCAAGTGGCCGAAAAGCAGGGAAAAGGTGAAGTTGGATATATATGTGAAACACATGCTTCCGTTTCCTCATTTTCATGGCATGACATCCGTTCTTTTCGCTTCATGTGGCAGATCTGGTACTATAATGTCCCTCACACCAAGCTCGCAGAGGTCAAGGGCCATCAAAACTGGGTGAAGGTTAGTGGTGAATATCTCATGTTCCCCGGTGGTGGAACTCAGTTTAAGAACGGTGCTCTTCACTACATCGATTTCATCCAACAGGTATAACTATCATTACTTTTTTTTGTTATGACTTTGCAATTCTTCTTCTTATGGAGGATGATATTGACTTAGGTGCCTGCGGGTGTTTTTTCTTTTTGCAGTCGCATCCTGATATTGCATGGGGAAATAGAACCCGTGTTATATTGGATGTTGGGTGTGGAGTTGCCAGCTTTGGAGGTTACCTTTTTGAAAGAGATACGCTCTCTATGTCACTTGCTCCCAAGGATGAACACGAGGCACAAGTGCAGTTCGCTCTGGAACGTGGTATTCCTGGAAACCCGACTCAAG